GCTTGAAAAAGTAGCCCCGAAAAAATAATTTTATTTCCCTGATCCACATAGTAACTGCCTGTATAGTCACAGTACTCAACATATCCTTTGCATGGGTCACCAGAGTATACTCTGTGCACAAATCTACATCACGCGGTGAAGGCATTTCTGACACAAGGGTGCTATACAGGCTTGCTTTAGCGTGACAACACATGGGGAGCGAACTCCTGATGATAGGACACAACCCAACCTCACCAAAAGTATCTGTGATATAAATCCTAGCAGCAACACATCACAGAAACTTTAGCGAAGTAAAGCTGCTCTAGTGAACAACGAGTACAACGAGCAAGAGGTGGGAAAACACACACACAATAGCATCTGTAGTCTGTACACACACACAATAGCATCTGTAGTCTGTGACCACATACAATAGCAAATCTGTAATGTCTGTACACACACACAATAACATCTGTATTCTGTACACACACACAAATAGCTCTGTATCTGTACACACACAATTAAGCATTCTGTAGCGGTTACACACACAATAGATCTGTTACGTCTGTACACACACACAATAGCATCTGTAGTCTGTACACACACACAATAGCATCTGTAGTCTGTACACACACACAATAGCATCTGTAGTCTGTACACACACACACAGTATCGTACAAACAAAGCAATGCTGTAGTCTGTAACACACACACAATAGACGTATCTGTAACCAAGATTGCTGTCTACACACACACAATAGCATTCCTGTAGTCTTACACACCACAGCATAGCATCTGTAGTCTGTACACACACACAAATAGCATCTGTAGTCTGTAACACACACAATAGCATCTGTAGTCTGTACACACACACAATAGCATCTGTAGTCTGTACACACACACAACATTGAGTCTACCCTAGCATCTGTAGTCTGTACACACACACAATAGCATCTGTAGTCTGTACACACACACAATAGCATCTGTACACATACACTTCACATGCATTCCGGACGGCACGCAATTTACAGACAAATTCTGAACACTATGATGTGGGATAAACAGAAAAAACACTACCTAAACACAAAAATGGCACCAAAACGCGCTGACATTAGTACTATTACGGACTAAATCGCGGTATATAATTAATTACAGTAATTTGTAAAACACACAGACGGCCATGCACAGACACGGAACTGTCTGATAACAATAACCTAATGTTGTGTGACATCACGTGAGGGTCGTGACACTCTGTGTTTGTTGCCTGATACACCCCTCTCTCACCAAAACAATCTGTGATTTGCATTGTATGGTCCGTGACAAAGTCACAGAATGTTTCAGCGAGACAGAAGTCGTGATTTACACACAGGAAGCGCTCACGTACAGCGAAAACCACCATTCCCTACGATTGTCATTGGCACTCACACACACACACACTGAACACACGCGCACAACCGTCGGCAAACTCAAACGCGATAGCTTGGATGTTGTTGCTGTGCACCGTACTGCCGTGTCATGGCGCCTCGCTCTCACCAAAAATATCTGTGATTTGTAAGCTTACTCGCCAAAGTCACAGGCACTTTGGTGAGATCAGAGATTGCAAGAGTGCAACGCCATCTACAGATGTGTTCGTGCGACATGGGACCATTGCCGTCCATGGGCTCAATCCTGTGACGTGAAAGAAAAACTCCATCAAGTGCAGTTCTCCATCGTGAGCGCAATGCCAACAGGTGCATCCATGCGCAGCGACTGTCCGACTGAAACCGCGTTGTTGACGCTGACGTGTCCACAGCAACACCAAGTGAGTCTGTGATAGTGACATGGGTGGTAGACTGCCACAGACTACTTGATGTGGCTGTGAGAGACACAGATAGTCCGGCCTCATAACAGCATCGAGGGAACTCTAGTTCGCTACTCGTCTAAACGATGATACACCAAGAGCTCATGCAGAAAATACTCCTTCAGCCAGTCACTGGATAAAATGATGTTCTCTTGCATGGCAAACTAATTGTGATGTTTCCTCACTCAGTCGCTGAATCAATGACATTCACTCACAGTAAACAAAAACAGTGATGTTCCTTTAATCCCGGAGTACATGAGTAAAGTAATGTTCCATTGCTTAGTAAACGGATGAGGAAGATCACAGAGACGACTAACAACAGGTGTCGTCCTGCGATTAGTCAGCAACTGAGGTGATGAGCCGATGTCCCCTTGAACGGAGCTTGGTGCTGCAATGACACCTCATATGGCCAGGGCTTAAGTCGGTGATGTTCCCTCATGTAGAACATAGTTAAGGTGATGTCCCCTCATATAGAACATAGTTGAGGTGATGTTCCCTCATGTAGAACATGGTTGAGGTGATGTTCCCTCATGTAGAACATGGTTGAGGTGATGTTCCCTCATGTAGAACATGGTTGAGGGGATGTCCCCTCATATAGAACATAGTTGAGGTGATGTTCCCTCATGTAGAACATGGTTGAGGTGATGTCCCCTCATGTAGAACATGGTTGAGGCGATGTTCCCTCATGTAGAACATGGTTGAGGTGATGTTCCCCTGTACAGACTATGGTTTAAGTGACCACCGCTCACACGAAACACCGCGTGCGGTGACGTTACCTCACCAGCAAGCCTCAGCACTCATCCCTCCTCACCAGCAAGCCTCAGCACTCGTCCCTCCTCACCAGCAAGCCTCAGCACTTCGTCCCATCCTCAACCAGCAAGCCTCAGCCACGTCCTCCCTCCTCACCAGCAGCCTCAGCACTCCGTCCCTCCCCTCACCAGCAAGCCTTCCAGCATGTCCTAACTCCCGCACCTCTCCCTCGCCTCCTCACAAGCAGCCTCAGCACTCGTCTCTCCCTCACTGCACCGCAAGCGCTCGCACTCGTTCCTCCCTCCTCACACAGCAAGCCTCAGCACTCGTATCCGCTCCCTCCCTCCACCACAAGCCTCAGCATCGTCCTCCTCACCAGGCAAGCCTCAGCAACTCTCCGCTCCTCCACCAATGGCAAGCTCTCACACTCGTCCCTCCCTCGCTCAGCAGCAAGCCTCAGCACTCGTCCTCCCTCCCTCACCCAGCAGCCTCACACTCGTCCCTCGCCTCCTCACCAGACAAAGCCTCAGCACTCCCCTCCCGTCACCTACAGCAAAGCGCTCAGCACTCGTCCCTCTCCTCCTCACCAGCAAGCCTCACACTCCGTCCCTCCTCCTACCAGCAAGCCTCAGCACTCGTCCTCCCTCCTCACCAGCAAGCCTCAGTCACCGTCGTCCCTCTACCAGCAAAGCCTCGAGCACTCGCTCCCTCCTTCACACGCAAGCCTGCAGCACTCGCTCCCTCCTCACCAGCAAGCCTCAGCACTCGTACCCCTCCTCACGCGCAAGGCCTCAGCCACTCGTGCCCTCCCTCCTCACCAGCAAGCCCAGCCACGTCCTCCCTCCTCACCACGCAAAGCCTCAGCACTCGTCCCTCCTCCACCACAAGCCTCAGCACTCGTCCTGCCCTCCTCACCAGCAAGCCTCAGCACTCGTCCTCCTCTCACGACAAGCCTCAGCACTCGTCCCTGACCCCTCCTCACACAAGCAAGCCTCAGCACTCTGTCCCTCCTCACCAGCTAAGCCTCAGCAGCATCGTCGCCTCCCTCTCACCAGCAAGCCTCAGCACACTCGTCCCTCGCTCGCTCACGCAGCAAGCCTCGCAGCATCGTCCCTCCTCACTCACCACAGCTCAGCACTCGTCCCTCCTCCTACCAGCAGAGCCTCAGCACTCGTACCCTCCTCCTCACACAAGCAAGCCTCAGCACTCGTCCCTCCTCTCACCGCAAGCTCAGCACTCGTCCCTCCTCACCAGCAAGCCTCAGCACTCGTCCCTCCCTCCTCACCAGCAAGCCTCAGCACTCGTCCCTCCTCACCAGCAAGCATCAGGCACTCCGTCCCTCCTCACCTCAAGCAAGCATCAGCAACTCGTCCCTCCCTCCCTCACAGCAAGCCTCAGCACTACTCGTCTCCCTCCTCACCGAGCAAGGCCATCAGCACTCCAGTCCCTCCTCACCAGCAAAGGCATCAGCACTCGTCCCTCCTCACCAGCAAGCCTCAGCACTCGTCCCCTCCTCAACCAGCAAGCTCATCACTCGTCCCTCCTCCTACCAGCAAGCCTCAGCACTGCGTCCTCCCTCCTAGCCAGCAGCCTCAGCACTCCGCTCCCTCCTCACCAGCAAAGCCTCAGCAAGCTCGTCCCTTCCCTCCAACCGAGCAAGCGCGTCAGCACTCGTCTGCCCTCCTTCAACCAGTCAAGCCTCAGCACTCGTCCCCTCCTCCTCACCAGCAAGCCTCAGCACTCTCGTCCCTCCTACACCAGCAAGCCGTCAGCACTCGCCCCTCCTCACCACGCAAGCCTCAGCACTTCCGTCCTCCCTCCCACCAGCAAGCTCAGCAACTCGTCCCTCCTCACCAGCAGCCTCAGCACTCGTCCCTCCTCACAGCAAGCCTCCACACATGCGTCCCTCCCTCCTCACCAGCAAGCCTCAGCACTCGTCCCTCCTCACCAGCAAGCCTCAGCACTCGTCCCTCCTCACCAGCAAGCCTCAGCACTCGTCCCTCCCTCCTCACCAGCAAGCCTCAGCACTCGTCCCTCCCTCCTCACCAGCAAGCCTCAGCACTCGTCCCTCCTCACCACAAGCCTCAGCACTCGCCTCGCTCCCTCCTCACCAGCAAGCCTCAAGCACTCGTCCCTCCTCACCAGCAAGCCTCAGCACTCCGTCCCTCCTCCACCGCAAGCCTCAGCACTCGTCGCTCCCCTCACCAGCAAGCCTCAGCACTCGTCCCTCCTCACGCAGCAAGCCTCAGCACTCGTCCTCCCCCTCACCAGCAAGCCTCAGCAACTGCGTCCCTCCCTCCTCACCAGCAAGCCTCAGCACTCCCATCCCTTCCTCACCAGCAAGCCCTCAGCACTCGTCCCTCCCTCCTCACCAGCAAGCCTCAGCACTCGTCCCTCCTCACCAGCAAGCCTCAGCACTACTCGCTCCTCCCTCCTCCTCACCAGCAAGCCTCAGCACTCGGTCCCTCCCTCCTCACCAGCAAGCCTCAGCACTCTGTCCCTCCCTCCTCACCACAAGCCTCAGCACTCGTCCTGCCTCACCAGAGCAGACCTCAGCACTCGTCCCTCCTCGCCAGCAACCTCAGCACTCGTCGCCTCCCTCCTCACCAGCAGCCTCAGCATCTCCCTCCTAGCTCCTCAGCATCTCCCTCCTCACCAAAGCAAGCCTCAAGCACTCGTCCCTCCCTCCCACGCAAGCAAGCCTCAGCACTTCGTACCCCTCCTCACCAGCAAGCCTCTAAGCAGCTGTCCGCTCCCTCGCTTCACGCAGCAAGCCTCAGCACTCGTACCCAGACCTCCCACGACCCAGCACTCTCTCCCTCCTCACCAGCACGCCTCAGACTCGCCCCTCCTCAACCCAGCAAGCCTCAGCACTCGTTCCTCCCTCCTCACCAGCAAGCCTCAGCACTCGTCCACCTCCTCACCAGCAAGCATCAGGCACCGTCCCTCCTCATCCAGCAAGCCTCACACGTCGTCCCTCCTCACAGCTAAGCCCTTCAGCACTCGTCCCTCCCTCCTCACCAAGCAGCCTCTTCACAAGAATCCCTCCCTCCTCACCAACGAAGCCTCAGCACTCTCCCTCCCTCCTCACCAGCAAAGCCTCAGCACTCGTCCCTCCCTCCTCACGCAGCAAGCTCAGCAACTCGCTCCCTCCTCAGCCAGCAAGGCCTCAGCACTCGTCCCTCCATCCTCTCACCCAGCAAGCTCAGCACTCGTCCCTCACCTCACCAGCAAGCCTCAGCACTCGTCCCTCTCACCACAAGGCCTGCAGCACATCGTCCTCCTCCTCACCAGCAAGCCTCAGCACTCCGTCCTCCCTCCTCACCAGCAAGCCCAAGCACTCGTCCCTCCCTCTCTCACCAGCAAGCCTCAGCATTCGTCCTACCCTCCTCACTCAGCAAAGCCTCAGCAACTCAATCCCTCCTCACGGCAGCAAGCCTCAGCATCTCGTCCCTCCTCACCAGCAAGCCTGCAGCACTCGTCCCTCCCTCCTCACCAGCAAGCCAACTCGTACCCTCGCTCACAGCAGCTCGCACGTCCCTCCTCGCCACCAGCAAGCCTCAGCACTCGTCCCTCCCTCCTCACCAGCAAGCCTCAGCACTCGTCCCTCCTCACCAGCAATGCCTAGCACTCGTCCTCCTCCCAGCACAGAGCCTCAGCACTCGTCCCTCCTCCTCACCAGCAAGCCTGCAGCACTCGTCCCTCCCTCCTCACCAGCAAGCCTCAGCACTCGTCCGTCCCTCCTCACCAGCAAGCCTCAGCACTCGTCCCTCCTCACCAAAAGTATCTGTGATATGAGATACGCAGTGCTACACATCACCGACAGGTTGGCGAGCAGAGCACAAGCATTTGCTTACATTCTGAGCGTGTCCACCGAGTGTGTGGAACGGACACACGATGGCGCCACTAACCAGAAGCCGCTGTGAAGACAGTTAGTGCCACCGCCTCACCAAAAGTATCTGTGATATGATATTTGACTTACGTAGCACAGATATTCTGGCGAGGCGATGAGACACCGCATTCTGTCCAATTCTTGGAATGCCACGAGTCTTTCACGTTTCGTGACAGCAACACTTACACCTCCACCCACGCACGAAGTAAGGAGGTAAGTTGCACGACTTACTTGGAAGATTTCGTCCTTGTGCGACTCAAATGAGTGAAGCTTTAACTTCAGATTCCGTAGATCCCACAATGCAACTGTCTGGAACGAAAACGACCAGCCGTACAATTAATCGGGACCGATCAAATTCAGATTTTTTTGCACCAGCCCAGAGCACTGGTAATAGCTTCTTTTTTTTCCAGCCCCCGCCGTAATTTACCAGCCCTCACAAATTTTATTCGTAAAATCAATCTCATGTTTCACGCTTGCATTCTCGATTTCAAATTTGTAAAATGTTGATAAATTATGTCGTGATATCCTTCAGGTAAAACAGTAATGTAGGCTATTTGCTATAAATAAACTTGTAGGTACTCGCTAACACGGCTGAAACCACTGAGCACGAGACGCAACGCCACAAACGCAGAGGGCCGGTGTTTTGCCAATGTTACCGGCCCTCCAAATAATTTGCCGGCAATTTCCCTCCCTGGATCAATGATGCCGCCACAGCAACCAACGTAACCACTCGATTAACTCACTCTCCATCATCGCTAAACAGTAGAACATTCTAGTAAGTAACAAACAGTAGAACATTCTAGTAAGTAACAAACAGTAGAACATTCTAGTAAGTAACAAACAGTAGAACATGCCTTGTCAGCAGATCCCGTAGCTAGTATGAACTCGCTGTACGGGTTGAAAGACAGGCAGTTAACCTCTGCAGTGTGTGCGTCGACCGTGTGACTCGGCTTACTGGTGTTGTTAGAGCGTGTGTCCCATCTAAATCAACACACACACGACCAGCATGTTACCAAGCATGTGGGATGCTAGGTATTAACAATTGACAGTGAGAAATTCTCTTCATGACTATATACTATTGATATATTGATATATGAAATTCTATTTTTGACGAACCGACCAGAATCTTATCAAGCATGTCGCATGCTGCTACGTATTAACAATTCTCTCGTCAACATCGACAATAAGAAATTCTCGTTCGCAAACGTTGAGTAACAGCACCACCGTCTCTTACATCATCAGCTTCTGATCATCGGCGACGGATCCGAACAAACTCTCGTGCAGCAGATGCCACGCAACGTCCTCGACGACGGCCGTGTGACCCGTGAAGATCGTCTGCGCGTTAATGACTCGATGCTCGACGGGCGTCGCGTTGATGTCCCATAGACAGATCGTCTGTAACATGCAGCAACGCTCGTTAGTTAGGCGTTGATGTCCCATAGACAGATTGTCTGTAACATGCAGCAACGCTCGTTAGTTAGGCGTTGATGTCCCGCATAGACACGATCGTCTTGTAACATGGCAGCCAACCGCCGTTAAGTTAGGCGTGAATGTCCCCCAGACAGATCGTGCTGTAACATGCAGCCAGCGCTCGTTAGTTAGGCATTGAACGTCCGCAGACAGATCGTCTGTAAGCATGCAGCACGCTCGTTAGTTAGGGCGTGAGTCGGCCCGCAACCACCCCCCACCGACAGATTTCCTTAACAAGCAGGCAACACCGTTAAGTTAGGCATTGATGTCCCGCAGACAGATTGTCTGAACAGGCAGCAACGCTCGTTAGTTAGGCGTTGATGTCCCGCAGACAGATTTGTCTGAACATGCAGCAACAGCTCGTTAGTTAGCCATTGATGTCCCGCTAGACAGATTGTCTGACATGCCAGGCAACGTTCGTCGTTTAGCCGTGGATGTCCGCGCAGACAGATTGTCGAGTAACATGCAGCAACGCTCGTTATTAGGCCATTGCGATGTCCGCGGGCAGACAATGTCTGTACGAACACGAATCAGCAACACTGCCGTTAATAGGCCAAAATTAGCAGAGCTCTGATGCAGATCTCCATGTTCTATCGTTAACTGTAGCAGGCGTTTATACCAAAATCTCATATAAGATCTATATCTACTATCTGAACAAAATGTGTCGACCAAACGCCCAATTAATGTGATAGATAAGTATATAGATATTAAAAAAAAATTTACACTCGCTCTGCTCGCCATGGGTGTCCATATTCAGCAGCTAGATTAGCCCCTGAACCCCTCTCTATATGCAGTGTTAGTATTCACTATTACATGGGTGTCCATATTCAGCAGCTAGATTAGCCCCTGAACCCCTCTCTATATGCAGTGTTAGTATTCACTATTACAAAACAAGTGTTGCATTACGTAATCAGCCAACACTAGCTATAACAAGTGGAACGGGAAGAAAGCAGATGAGGCCCTGCGTGTGTATAAGTTATAACTCACATGATCGTCGGAGGCGGATAGGAGCCTGCCGTTCATGTTGGGATTCCAGGAGAGACCGTAGCCCTCCTTCTGGTGGCCCCTCAATCTCAGATCCGGGTTGCACTCTCCGTTAGGGTCTACACGAGGAACAAGCAAAACACGTAGGAGTAAGTAATTTTTTACATTTTATATATATATTTTCATATTTTTCGCATACAGATAGTTTCGCGATTCAGACTTGACAGACAATTTCGCGATCGTGAATTCCCTGATCAGTGAAGAACAGCATGTTGTTATTTTCGCAGTCGGGGATGCGTTCGCGAAATTTGCGAAAATTAAACCACCGCGAAATATACAGCGCATAGTCGTATACAGTATCTCAAAATGATCTCATCCTGAAATAACACTGATGCTGATGGCATAGTGATATCAGAACAAACAAACAAACAAACAAACAAACAAACAACAATAACAACAACAACAACACTCACTAACATCTCTGGTATCACAGACATCACTATTAGCAACACTACATCTTCAACCATTTTAGTTTAAAACAACAATAGCAATAGAAGTGGCAAAAAACAAGAACATTTCTACACACCTGGTTTCGAGGGATGCTTGGTATAGTCGAACACAAGCACGTCGCTGGACGGTGTCTTTGTCGCGATGATGCACGGATTCTGCGGCATATAGCGCGCACGGTTTACCTCTCCCTCGTCGGTTGATCTTAATCCTATCTCTATACTACGCTCACCTGGGGAGCCAAAGCCTCCAAACGCTGCAAAGATATACACATAAATGTAGGTGTTGTGTCAGAGGAAGG